AACTCATATTAGAAAAAATCGTAAAAAATAGAAAATATAGATATTTTGTAAAATAAATTATACCGTATCGTGACGAAGTAAATGATCTTTCCGATTTTGTAATTATTTTTTGGCTGAGTCTCATAAAAAAAATTAGATTGTGTTTTAAAATCGTCTGAAAAAAAAAAGGGTCGGAGAATTTTAATTTTGCTCCTGGCGAGAAAAAAAAGACACTAATTATGCCTTTTAAGGTTTTTAATTAATATTTTTTTAACTAATTGGAACATCAGAACAAAAATAGACAAAACGGATTCTTCGGATCATTTCCGATCTTTTGTTACCTTTGGCGAGCTTCTGCATCGTGCGGTTCGTGAGAAGATAGATGTACATACTTTTGTTTACCTACGAATTTTAATAGTGTAGATGCCACTTTTTGGGTGCTAACGGTCTGATATTTGTTGATCGTAATAACTATTGTAATACCATATATTTGTTGGGACGCATCCCTACGGTGCATTTCCGCCTCTACAGCCTTTTGGTCAATATCTTGGCACCCGAGCCTGACAGTCCATTCGCACCTTGCTCATTCGATCCCTCTCTATCTGCTCTTCCAGTTATTATAATTTCACGCTCGTATAGGGCTACTTCTTCCATAGTTTTAAATTGTTTAAAACTATTTTATTTGTTTAAATTCACAATATCTTGGTTCCTGTTCGAGTCTCGAAATTGAGATTTAAACTTAACTGTTTCACTCGTCGAGACCCATCCAGTCATCTACTTAATTCCCATTGAGTAGGCATGGGGAGGGCTTTAGCCCTAAGATATCATGCTCCCATGTTAGTCCTATAGAACTGGAAAAAATTTCTCCCTCCTAAGGAATTGAGCTTGGGACTTGATTTTTGGAGGTCGGGAATATTTTCGTATTAGCGCAAACTTTACGTGGAATTGGCCCCCTCCGGTGCTCCCTACAGAGCTTCCCCAGTAATTATTCGAATCCTATGCCACCTTGGTCGACCGCACCAGCTGGATTCGATTGTTCTCCCTATGAGCATTCCAGATATATTTTTTCAGGATCATAGACCCATATCTTCACCCATATTTAACAATTTTAAATTATTTTTAAAGTTTTAAATTTTTTAAATCCCGCACAGCTCCTAGTAATTTTGAGCTTCGTTAATGAAATTCGGATCATAGGTTCTCCTTGTTGATCTCTTTCATCTGATATAATTCATGTGTAGATAGTGGGCCTAGGGGGGTGTTATTACTAAAATTAGAATTCCCATGTAATTCAATATGGTTCGATCTCTTGATGACGTCACTTTTTTCTGAGACAGAAGGATGAAACTTTGGGATCATCTACTACTCTGTGTGCCATTGGGATGTACGTGACCATTTACGTCCCATTTGTCCCCCCCCCCCCGAAAGAGTTAGTTTCGTTTTCCTTTCCCGAGCTAGCACCACCCTATTTGAAACTACAGACTCCGGACCGGT